ATCGGTTAGCACATAGAAACTGAAGTCAGTTCACGCATTGCAAAAGCCAGAACTACATTCTTGAACCTGCGACATCTTTTGTTACAGAAGGGAGTTTCTCTCCGTCTGAGGCCACAATGGGGGCCGTACTGCTCTATGGTAATGAGGCTTGGCCCCTTCGGTCTGAAGACGTGATGCGATTTCAAGTCTTTGATCATTGTTGTCTGCGGAGCATTGCTGGTGTCGGACGGCATCAGCGTGTCCGAAACGATGATGTGCGTAGACGAGTACTAGGTAGTGATAATCATACTATCTCCCTAGAACAACAGGTAGCACTGAATAAGTTGCCTTGGCGCGGGCACGTGCTACGTATGCCTGGTCACCGCTTACCTAGGAGGGCCTTGTTTAATCTCCCAGATGTGGGGTGGCGCAAAGCTCCTGGTGGACAAGTTGACTTGGCAGCGTGAGGTGAAGTCACTGACAACCAAACTGGGGCCGTTGGTCGGTCTCGCCTTCCGGGCTGGAGTCCACATGATTCGTATTGTGCTTGGCTCGTGACTATACAGGACATGGCTCGCAACCGACACCATTGGCGCGTCTGCTGCCGTCTCCTAGACGGACTACCTTTTTAAAGTGTGTTTGGTGCTGAGTTATCTCCAGGGTAATGGCTGCTTATGACGCGAGGCAGTGAAAGCCACAAGGAAGCTGTCTCACCGATGCCACCTTATCTTTGCACGATGGCCAGCTGTTTGTGACGGTATGTTGTTTACACAAGGTGTAGGCGCCTTGACCCTGAATGTTTGCTTAGGGCATTAAGAGTTTCAGAGAAGTCCCCCTTCTCTACCTCTTATTATTCTCTATTTCCTAGGTCATCATGGTTGTATGGCAGCGAAGCATCAGTTCAAATGGCTGATGTACTGCTGTTGATGATGATGATGATGGTGCGAGGCATCGCTTCAACTGGCTGATGTACTGCTGTTGTTATGGATGTCCCAATTCCGGTGACGTTTTTGTCACTGGAACGCAGAGCGACTTTAGCATACACGAGCGCGTGTTTCGAAGTCAGGTAGGTGCTCCATATTGGCTTGCAATTTCGTATGCAGCAATGTGGTAAGTTTGCGCCCTTTGACTGGACTGATAGATGGGGTCTCCAGGTCGCACTTTGGCGCCAAGATTGCCGTAAACGTACACACGATAGGAATAGGCCGTGATGCGCGCAGAGCTGCCGTAAGCGATCGCAGTTATCTCTCCTACAAATACCATGGTCATTTTTGACCACTGAGTCCACGTTCGTCAACTTCAAACCCGCCAACCTACGCGTTTAAGTCCGCAGCAACTAACAGCGTGTCCGCTTGGCGCTTTCTCAGAGGTCGGTGAGTTGACCTTTGAACTCGGCTTTAACTGACTTTGGGCTCCGGTCTGTGGGAGCATACGTTGCCACAACGAACAAACAGCATATGCTTGCTCCATGCCTTGCGTCAGTTGTTGGACCACCGTCACACATATTGGCGGCCCACCCTAGTCGTGTTCCTCGACATCAAATGTGCCTTGGATTCGGTTGATCGATGTGCCCTTTGGAAATGTCTACTAAGGAAAGGTGTGTCCGAGAAATATGTTAATATTATCCAAGCATTATATGCGCGTAGCACGGGCAGAGTGAGGGCTTACGGCAAGCTGTCGCCACCGTTTAATATCTCCAGCGGTGTGAGACAAGGATGCCCGCTGTCACCTTTCCTCTTCAACTTCGTTATTGACGAAGTCATGGAGATTGCATTTACAGGACATGATTTGGAAGGTGTGGAGCTACTCCCAGGAGAACTATTTCATGATTTGGAGTATGCAGACGACATTGCCCTCATCTGTGACAGCTCCCAGACGTGCCAAGCCGCGCTGGACAGATTAGCACTGGCTGTCAGCCGCTTCGGGCTTTGCTTTGCACCATCGAAGTGCAAAGCGTTCCTCCAATATTAGCAGGGATCGCCTCCTGCGCTGACCCTTGGTGGGGACCAGCTAGAAGTCGTTCAGAAATTCAATTACCTGGGAAGTTGTATCAGCGCCCTTGGGATCGAAGATGAGATCACGAACCGTATAGCGAAAGCTCGAAGTGCTTTTGCTAACCTTCGCCACCTATGGCGGCGGCGCGACATTACACTCGCCCTGAAGGGTAGAGTGTACAATGCAGCGGTACGTTCGACCCTACTGTACGGTTGCGAAACCTGGCCCCTAAGATCGGCGGACATGAAGAGGCTAGTTACGTTCGACCATCGGTGCCTTCGCAGTTTGGCTCACATCTGGTGGGAACACCGCGTGAGTAACGAGCGTGTTCGACGCCTTGTTTACGGCCCAGGAAAAGGAAACGAACCGCTCAGCACCGTTATTTCCCGCACCAGGCTCCGATGGCTCGGCCACATGTTGCGCATGCCAGCCCACCGACTCCCTCGACGTGCGTTGTTTGCTCACCGGGGATGTGGGTGGAAGAAGAGGAGGGGTGGCCAAGCGATGACTTGGTCCAGAGGAATGAAGTCCCTCACTTCAGAGCTAGCCTCGGTTGGAGCTTCACGGCTCCCTGGTTGGGGTCCAAAAGACGATGAACACGTTTGGCTGGATACACTTGCTGACATGGCAAGGAGCCGACCTTAGTGGCGTTCGTGCTGTGTTTCTTTGTCCCTCCCCATCCCTTTTAGCCTCCCCCTCCACCTACGATCTCATTTCTTAGCGTAAAACATAATTTCTTTTCTTTTTTACCTAGTAGCTGGCTGGTAGCTTACCGGAACGATGCCTATCCGTTGCTGGTAGCTCAGCTGGCATGCAACTGTCGTATTTATTTTTCCTTTATGTATTGTATTTATGTATATATTTCCTTTATGTATTGCGGTACAATAGCGGAGGTGTTTCCCCACCTCTAGCTGACATGTATAATGATGATGATGCTCCATGCCTGGACGGTCGTAATAAGGTCTCTAGTTGGATCACGCAGAATTGGCTGTTGACGGAAATCCAGTCCAGTAGCGCACGTGTGCTCAGCACCGTCCCCACACTAGCATGACCAGCGGCCTTGGTAGCCGAGTCTAGATAATCGCAGCTTGGAAATACAAGTGGAACTCGCAGACGGAGAGATCAGTCATAGTGTAGTGCTGAAGTCCTATAAACTGGTCTCAGGGAGACAACAGTTATCAACTGCAGATTCTAAAGTGCAAACAAAGTGTCTGTGATCCCATTTGCATTCTCATCCAAACATTGCAGGTGACCGGCTTGCGTTTGAAGCGGACGCTTAAAAAGGCTTAACAGTACGATAGCGGTGCACCATTAGATCTAAGCTCCTGACCCATGTGTAGAGAACACTCGCCCAACGCGGCACTGTGTTGTGGTCTGGTAAACTGAGGGGTTCATCCAAGGCTAGAGGATTAGACAGACGTGGAATAAAGTTCTTGAACTGTGGTACGGTAGGGCGCGGTTTAGCTGGTTTGGCCATCAGCACCTCGGCCGAATTTGGCATTTTCGGAGAGCAGAGGGATCGAGTAAAGAAGCGTGTGATCATGGTAGTTCTCAGTTACCAAGCCCAAGGAAGATGGTTGGCTTAGGAACCCAGCTCGGAGCCTTGAGTCACAAATACTTATCCCTCAAAACAATGGAGCGACTAACGTAAACCGCGAACCGATGGGAGCGGACCACCAGAGCAAGGATAACACGACTTTCTAGTAGAAGAAAATTAGTTGGCGCCAGAGAACCCGACTGTAGTGGCTCGATGATGAGAAACATTTCCTGGATCACTGAACTCGCTGCAAGGCACGGAGGCTGACAGTCAAGTAGCTCGCATGCCTACACAGTATTCGAAGTGCACTTGGAAGCCGGTGGCCATCAAGGTTGTTCATCCCTCATCCGTCATGTTATCAAGGTTGCAGAAGTGAGTTGTCCGTAACCATATAGCCGGTCACATTGGCTTTGACACAGTGCCATACGAGCCCTTGTGCTATTTAATGGGGAACCAAGTGACCAGCTTAGAACCCACCTACACTCTGAGGTTGCCACTGATTATCCGCGACTGCTTATTCACCTCACATACAAAGACAAACTTAGTGACAGTTTCCTCCGCAGGAATTCGTTCTTCCATCGACAACCTGGAGACACGCCCGGTAACCTACAGCTCCACCGCATCAACAATCGCGACTAAGTGATCACCACTTCTTCACTCTACCTAGTTTTTGACCATTGTATCCTTTTTTGGGTCTACTCGCGCTTACCATAACGATGTACCGTCGTCCTGGTGATGTTGTCTGTTAAGCTGGATAGCCTTTTTCAGGAAACAGATAAATAAGAGATATATACTAAAGACCGGTGTCCAAATCTGTAAACTCCTTGGACTCCATCTGTACAAAACATATCGCAAGGTGTTTTCCTTGATCCAAATGCTGAACGACGTAATTAGAATTGATCATTTCAAAACTCACGCAGCCTCCAAACCACATTCATTTACTTGGGTCATAGTCTCTGACCCCCACTTGGACCTAGAAAACGCGCATAACTGACGGACCGTAACTATCGCCGGAGCTTTCCCGACCGTAGCTGACTGCCCCACTGGATGCACTTGTGTTGTATTATATTTGTTTCTTTCCAGTCATAAGCTAGGTGCCTCAGGAGGGCTCTTTGTTTAATAGCTGTGGCGTTGTAATTATTAAATGCATTCGAGTCTACATTCGGGTTAGTGTTGCAGTGACTCAGACGTTGGCTTACGATATCTTTACTCTGGGTCCCATTTCCCGCTCCTTCATCTCTAGGATATCTCACCGCAGCTACCATCACCTACAGTTGCATGATTAACAAGACATCAGTGCGAACTATGGTGCTGATACCACTTTTCCTGAACCACTTATCATGGAGTCTGTCCGCCGCGATACATGTGTTCTTACTTAGTTCCTTCGCATGTTACTGTTGCGTGTTATCCTGTGCTATCTGTTTCATGACTCGTGCTCTTTCGCCAGGGATTTATCCCACGTGTTTTCATTGATTTTCCTCTTACTGAAGCTAATTATTATTTTTTCGGATTTTACGGCTATGGTTACCGGAAGTTGACGCTGCATGTTCCAGGGGGTTGGTCTGTTACCAGTTATATAAAGGTTCATTGGGCCCGACTTGCAACCATGCTGCAGTGTGCAGGATACCCGGAAGCAGATACTAGATTTGACGAGTTCTTTGAAAGACTGTTGGCTGGATACACCGATATACCTGACCGCTCAGATATTAACGATGATGATGGCTATCGGAATTTAAAGTCCAGAATGGTTTGGTTCCGCATTTTTCTAATTTCTTGGTTCCAGTTGATCACCAACCCAAGCGAATTGGAGTTCCATTGGAAACCATCTTGGTTGGAGCTGAAGGCCAAGGTGGATACAAAGTTTGAGAAGTGATTTCAACCATCTTGTGAAATGTTTCTCATACATTTAGGTTTATTAGGGAAGTTGAACACGAAGCGAAATTTCCCGGGATCTCCAAACCACCTGAACGCATTGGTGAGTTGGTTCAGTAGGTTATGGATTTCTCTTGTTCCCAGTCGTTGTTGCATTTGGTCGCATTACCTTACCTGAGGACAAATATCGTTACATCTATTAGGGATTGGTTACTAATAGATTAGGATCAACTTTGCTTCAGTGTGTATGCACATTGTTAAAACACTTCATTTTTTCACCCAAGGTCTGTATATGTGGCATTGAGAAGGATCGAGCTCAGTTACCAAGCGATAATCGTTAGTGTATTCCTGCATATAAAATCCCTTTTTTGCCTTGCATTTATAAAAAGTATCCCCCCACTTTGTACAGTAGCAGTATCTGTGTTTTCAAATTCCCATAACCTGCTTTTTGTACGAGTGTTTCTTTACAAAGCATTTAGCTTCCTAGATCGCGCCAATATTTAGATGATTAACTGCTTCTCTTGTCTATGTACTCACAACTTGTAAGGAGGCTGCTACGATCGACGATTATAAATCTGTCATGACGAATCGAATTCTTGTGACCATTGGCACGTTGTCTTCACAGTCTACACATCACATCCATTTGGTCGGCGAAGTGATTTGGTACATGGAGTGTAGGTTTTTCTTTGCTTCTAACTAGCTAGCTGAGCGATACGACCCTGGTGCCACGATTCGCCGCCTGTCTGAATCACTTCACCCACATTCTCGACTGGCTGTCGTTTGTCAACAAAGGCTTTTCGTGAGTATGCACTGCCTCTTAAAGTTTGTCAACAGGCAGCTTTTTTCACCAAAGTGTTCCGGTTACTTTCTGATATGATGCAACTGGACAGTTTTACCACACACGTATGTGAATACCGAAAGGACACATCGTGTCATCCTAACTTTTGACAGCAGTCTCCTTCTTTTATTGGGCCGTCCACATTTGCCAGAGTGATGTTCTGTTATCCTAAAGATCCTAACTGACAGACAGTTAGGATCTTTAGGATGACAGAACATCAGCTAAAAAGGTGACCTTTTTCAAGGATAAACAGAGATATGCACTAAAGAGAACAGGCTAAAATCATGCAAATGTTGGATCCCACATGTTCAAAGCATAACGCGAGGTATTTTTCTAGATCCGAATATATTTTAAACTCTTGTGCGACATCCAGACAATTGGATGGGTGGAGATACGGAAGGATGAATGGCATTTTTATTGCTACATTGATGAATATGTTTTCATGTATGGTATATTTGCTTAGGTATACTCTGTGGCGGTGTGATAGGCGTGCTCGTGCCCCTATTATTATCATCATGATGAAATGTCTTGCAGTCAAATAAGTAAAGAATATATTCCTCGACGGTGCGAGGCATAGTCCAACCCATTGGTTTGGTCATTATGTACAACGGGATCGAATGGGACAGATACTATTTCTTCGCTTTTTTTCAGAGCAGTACCCAAACTATTTTGCAAGGCTGATTGCTCAGTTGCGTCTTTCAAATAGTTGGATTGGTTGATAATAATAATAAATGCAGCTAAATCTAAATGTTCTGGTAAAGTAATACGGCCAACCGTGGATCCGTCTCCAGGGGACCTGCTTCCATGCAGGTCAGTCCCACGAAAGTTTCACCCGCACTTCATGTGCTGGGTGCAGCTTTAAAACATGTTTGCCATCTGCAATTGTACTTACCTTTAGGGCTTTTTAAGTGTGTAAATATCTGGACAATTAGACCATATAGCCTGTACCATCAATCGGCTTTTTGAGTCAAACACTTTTCTTAGTCCTCAGAGAGTCTATGGCATCTTGCTTCGCATGTCTCCGTCTATTAGTTTGGAGGCTAAAATTCCCTCACCTAGTCGTTGCTAAAAGTGGAGTAAAGAATATAGACTATGAGGTAGAAATGTAATTACGGTCATGATGATAAAGAAGAAATTGTTGTATTTAAATACCATTAAGAAAGGCCGACACATTTCTCGATCAAATTGTGCGGTGGGATCGCTGTACTAGGTGGTTAATCGGATTATCGATATGCGAGACAGTTCTGAAAGGAATCTTCTGGTTTATCCGACAGTTGCCTGTGTTCGCAAAATATAGTTGTTGTTATCGCGGAACGCTGATAACTGCTATCTGCTTCTGGGCTCTTGTTCTCTGGAAAGTGGAAGAAAAATTTAATATTACAAGACGAATGTAAAGGATGGAAAGGTAAAGGAAAAAACTGTTTATATCTCGACGATGTGAAAAACGGATTGAGGTTGATCTGGTCGAATTTTATGAGTAACTGGTTGAAAACAGTTTCTGTTCAAGTTGTCACAAGAGAAGAGGTTTCGGATTGATGCATTACTGGCAGCCGATGTGTGTAGGATTTGATATTGATGGATGTTATGAAGCACTCCGTATTTTTGTGCTGATACCTCCGGGTTGGAAAGCGAATTGGTTAGAAATACGGAAAACGACTCGTTACTAAATAAATAGATGTTAAGATGGTCGCAGACCAAAAAAGATTCGTCAACATCTAGATAATCTATATGTTTTGTTTTCCAGGACTCAGTGTGATACTTTCCTGTATTGTTATGCCGCCGGCCAGAATGGTTTTTTGAGGCTAGCATTTGCGGGTTGTCAAACTGTTGTATACGGGAGATATAAGATGATGACGGTTGATACCATATCTTTGATATCTGCTAGACCGTTTTCGTATGCCATCTCCTCCGTGACATTTTGTCTTAGCAGCTCGGTGGCATATTCTACAACTAACAAGGTGCGAATCTCCTTACGGAAGATTTCAGATGATTTGCGTTCTCGCAGCTTAGACGGCAACCTGTTCTATATTTTTGCGTAAACGTTAACGTAAAAGTTCGTACGTGCCTGAGTTCTAGGCCTTTCATTTCCAATTCACTGCATTTTATTTCGTTATCTTTAGATCTTGAAGAAATATTGAATCATACATCACCTGAGATGCGTATCCATGATTGTCAACATACTACTGTGATGGATTTACTCAATGAAGCCAGGGTGAAACGTGAACAGTCCAAACTATGTAAGACCGAGGAGAATGCAGCTTTTGTCGCTCCTAATTCTCATCCCGCTGTTATGGAGCAGGCAGGACGAGATTCAGAGAGAAATCGGGCACAAAAGAAAGCAAAACGATCGTCTAATAAAGCTCTATCTCGCGTTGTCGATCGAACTGAATGTGCTTCAACATGGCCAGGGTAGGTTTTCACACCATATCTCTTCAGCTGTATCGTTTCCGCAGCCTCATATGTGCGCGATCATTAAGCTTTTGTTGCTCTTTTTATTACCATCTTATTATTAAGTGCAGGCGATCACCGTTATGTCAATCTGAATTCCCAGCTTTGCTTATGTTGCCGTTTTCAGGCGCCCTTTACAGGAGGAGTCCGCCACACCCAGCTGGGGCGATTCGGTGGTAATGAGACTCCCATCGGTCACTTGAATCGATGCTTCGCTGCCGTATAACTACAATGGCTTACGGATAGTATACTAATAAGGGGAAAGGCGTTACCTAGCGTTAAGCCTTAATGCCTTGAACAAACACTAGATCAAGACGCCTATACCTTGTCAACAGCAAACCGTCACAAACAGCTGGCTATTATGCAAGGATAAGGCGGCATCGAGGAGACAGCATTCTTGCGTCTTTCACTGCCCAGCATCGTTATCAACCATTAGCCCGCAGATAACTCGGCATCGGACACACTAAACATTCAGTCCAACTAGGGAACGACAGCAAACACCCACTTGATGCGGATCGCGAGCCATGTCCTGCAACATCCTGGGTCAAGCACAAGATGGACCACTTGGACTTCAGCCTAGGTGGGACGGACCAGTGGCACCCGGATTTTTACTTAGTGACTTTGTTACCCGCTGCCAAGTCAACTTTTGTCCACCTCGAGTCTTGCGCCACCGTAAATCTGGCGAACGAAACAAAGTGATCGGATATGCGTAGCACTTGCCTGAGCCATCTCAACTTATTCTATTTATTTGTTGGTCTAGGGAACTTGCCTGCCCAGTACTTGCAAATGCACGTCATCATTACGGATACGCTGGTGCCATCCGACACCAGCGAGGCTTCGTAGGCATCGATTATCAAATACTTGAAAGCGCCCTAGCCCGTCAGATCGAAGTGGCCAAGCCTCATCCCCATGGAGTAGGACGATTCTCAGTGTATCCTTATAAACACAGCGTTCCAAACGGAGGGCAACCCCTTTCTGTCGCCAAAAATGTCGCAGATTCAAGAAGGCTATTCTAGCTCTTGCAATGCGTGAAGTACTAACATTTATTTTCGACAATTTATGTATATAGCTCAAAGTTGTGGTTTACAGAAAGCGCTAAGGCAGGCCAGTGTCTCGGCAGAACATAGAAACACTAGTATGGAATCAAGAATTCTATAAACTGGGCAGAACGGCACACCAAGTTGATCACTGCCTTTGGGTGTTATGTGTACCGTGTAGGCAGATGGCTTCGCGCATATATCTGTCATGCACACTGAGTGGCCCGCAAATAATGGAGACACAGATCCGAAATGTCGAAGTGTGAAAGATCCAGGGTCTTGAGGTGTCTCGCTGTGGCCAAATAAATCAACGGTCGTTCAAACTCACGGGATGGTGGATAACACTTGCTTAACACGTGGCCACATATTAAAATCTCATCTGCATGAGATCCGACACTATATTTGTCCGAATTAAGTTTATAGATTGGTTTCGTGTTGTCTACGTCACAGATAACAGCGTCCATAACATATGCAACAGTCTGCTTGACAACGAGCAAGTCGGGTTTGATAAGGGAGCTCAAAGTCGGCACTCTGGGTTCCGATGTAATCTCAGTACCCTGATGGCGGACTGCCCTTTCGCGATGTCCTTATGCTTTTTATATGGAACACAGTGTGCGACTGCACCTGCACGAAGGAGGTGTGAGAGCGTTCTCTTCTGGATACAAGCTTTACGATAATGAAGAAGAGATCTTGATGAAGCTGGTCTGCCTCTAGCACGGCGTGTCTTTATTGAGAGGACCCCCGCCCGCACCCGAATCAGTCGTATGAAAAGCCAAGAGATTTTTTCCGGTTTTCTGAGCAACTGGTGGACTGAAGGCGCAGTTGTGACCTCGCAGAGCGCGGAACCATCGACAGAGGATGTAAAAGTCGTTCTTCATTCATCTTGTGCAGAATCCTTGTCGAAGACAGGCTATTCGCGCATAAAGACAGGAGCTTTCGCTATGCAATGGATCGCAGATCGCCCAACTGACTATAGGAAGGGAGTTCGGCAGATGGTGCTCCAGGCGAGATTTCCGATTGAGGAGAATCGTGGTAGACAGATATGGTATACTGAGGTGAAAATCTTCGATAGCAAAGTAACGGTAGGCAACCGATGTATCTTCGGGCAACCGCAAACAAGGAAGCGGACTAGTTCATCCATATTTTAGAGGTATAACGACGTTCTACCGCCAGAAAAAGGCTGTGCGTGTGACTGGATAGTAAGAGGCTGCAGAGTATTTCTATTCTCTTAAGTGGTAACTTCAGGGAAGCTATGGTAGATTTTAGAAGCTGAGAGCAGGGGGTAATTTGCCTTTCCATTCGTACGGAAGACTGAGATAACTGAACAATTCGTCCGATTGAAGTGACGATATGATGATACATGAACACGAGAGTGTACAAGCAGTAGTTTTTCTTACATGGTATACAATGCTATTGAGAACAGCCGACATCGGTTGGCTTATTCTTGGGCTAATGAGAAGACTCCTCATGCAGCGTTCTGAGACGATCTACCAAGGCCAGCCGCCCCTTGCAAAGATGATCACATCGTCAGCATGAGCCAGTGGGGCAAGATCACTGAGGTTATGCAGGCTTATGAAGGGACTCGTCCAAAATCATGATGAAGAGCAATAGGGATGGTCTATCCTTATGTCAGGCACCCCTCCGGGGATGAATGTTTATCCCGTTGAAGGCAAACAGAGAGGAGGTCTAATAAGAGGAAAGTTAGCTTAGTAGGAACGGTGAGGCACCAAAAGAAAAGGCGGTTCTGGGTAAGTAATCGTGGAAGACTGAGTCAAACTTGGGAGATATCAACAAGGGTGAAAATGCTCGAAGCCTGAAACAGCCATCCTTACGAAGAAAGCCAAACTGAAGCCGGTTCACAGAAAAGAAGGAACCCATCCATCGAAGAGAATCCAGGTGGAGACAAAGGTCACAATAACGGATCGAAAATGTTTGAGGTGTGAGGATTTGGACATCTTGGTCACGAAGGTAATCCGCGCAACGTTCATGTAGAGCGGATAGCTGGAAGATGCAAGAAGACAGTTGAAAACAGGTGTGACAAGAACGAAGTTCATCCAGGCTGTATCCTTCTGAGTAATTCGATCGACACCGGGTATTGCTCCTTCTATAAGCAGAAGAGCGAAACGCATTTTCTTAGTGGACACCGATCGTACCAACTCGAGATTAAGATCCCACAGCGGACAAGGATCACGGTTGAGAAGAAACATCGGACCAGAAATCAGTAAACTCTGGAATCTCCAGCAAATAGGCAGTTTGCCATCGTCCATCCATTTGAGGTATCATGACAGCGAAGCATCAGTGTGGAGTACTGCTGATAACTTACTTTTCCTTACATACCGGCGTAGGTTAGCGGGCGATGCGACCTTAAGAAACCGATTACAGTCCACTTTTAGTATAAGCATATCGGATAAAAAATACTTTGCTTCAATACAAGACCAAATAATTGTGCGAATTTGTAGAACAAACTGCCAACAGCTGTATCCAGGAAAACTTGTATACCACTGCCCTTATCAGTTAATGTCTCCGACCAGTACTGTGTGCTGGTCTTGCAATCTCCTGCCGGAAGGCGGCATACCCCAACGTAACAGTTTCTCGGTTACTTTCTTCATACCTCTAGCCACTATTAAGGTACTTATTCCGAAAACAACACGCACTGATGTTAGTGATCGCTTGGCATTCGACAAACTTGATTACTTTATTATAGCTTGATCAATGACAAAATGCGGTCTAACACTGCACCGGCTGGTTTGTTTCGAACCACCGACTGACGAATTGTAGGATTGAGGTTATTTGTTCGCTTCTTCCACTAGCGTGCAACGCCCATACCTCTTCTTCAGTTGTCGTCACTAGTTACTTTGTATCTATAGGCTAGCATTACCCGTTACTGCAAATCATTGAGGCTTTAGTGGGCCACACTGGTTTGACTAATACTACTAATAGCCTGTTCGGTGATTCGCACCGGGTGCCGCAGGTTTGAGATTTTCCCTTGGGAAGAATATTGTTTGTTGCTGATTCGAGATGACTAGTTAGTATATGGATCATTCACCAAGCTCTTTAGCGGTATATAACCGTCCATCTCAGAATGATAGTGGTGATTCGCGGATCACGAATTCAATTGATAGGCAAGAAAGCTTAGTTACACGCTTCGCCTACACTATAAGAGTCAGTGCTATGTCACTATGCACCGAGGCACTATCAAAGTCTCGGCATGCACTGTTATTCATCCAACTTTCCTGCATTGCACTATGGCTAACCTGCGTCGCAGTAGACATTATTTCGTGCCCCATTCGAGCAGTGTCCGCGCTCCCTTAGCACCCAAATTTTAGCGCTTTTCGCGAAGAAATGAGATCGTACCGAGAAACCAGTTCGGTGAGCATATTGTGTTGGTTTGGCAGAATACTTCCAGCAAGGTGGGTGTTGGGCTACGCAGTTTTGATTGGGCGGCGCGGCATTTTTCTGGCTGTTTTCACTGCTGTAGGTGGCACTAAAGGTTTCTCCTCGATTGCTCAACTGTCAGCCTCGCATGGGTTTGCATGTAGGTACATTGCTCATGGTTGTCTTTTGATCAATATGGGACGACGAGTTGGGTTTCAAGTTATGGTCTTCCATACCTTGTGCTTTCGAAAGCTGCCGCGAAACACGCCGTGTGCCGTTTTATCCGTCTTGCTGTGTTGCGACTAAATTAAGAAATTAACCTTGCCCCCACCCAGCGGTTAACGCAAAGTTGCTTCCCTCAGTTGCGATGATTGCAGATTTAAGGGAAATTGGTCCTTTATCTGTCACTGCGGGTTCCGGGGAATCTAGGACCCTATTACCACTCTGTTTTTCAGGCTACGCGTGGAACTATCAAGTTATATAACACTGTCAGTTATGACGATATTCCTTTCGATTTCTGGGCCTGATCAAGATGTTGCGCGTCATTTTATGCATTATTTGCATGTATTAACCGTACAAATGCGACCATTCGCTTCGTGCTACTCCCCTTGATATCTTGCGGACTTTTCGCCCACGGCGAATAATTATCCGCGTGGGCGCGATACTACAGACCGCCGAGTAAAGTGGAACTATGAAATCCTTCTACTCTTCTCGCTTCATTGCTCATACTTAAGTGGGTTTCACAGTACACAGTGTGTTAGGTCATACAATGTATCCTTACTATTTAGGCCCTGAGTTTATGTCCAGTGTCATGCGCTATCTCCCCGCTGTTTAGGGAAGTTAATGAGGTGGTCCATTCCGCTGGTTACGTCATCTTTAAGCTCGTCCGTTGCATGAACATAGCACCTGCTTGCTTAAGCTTACTTCGGTGTAACTTATCAGACGCACACACTGTTTCTTTCTACACCTTCGATTGGGTCGATCACTGTGCTTTTTGGGACTGTCTACTGAAGAAGGGTGTGCCCGAGAAATATGTAAATGTCACAAGAGCGCTGTACGCGCATAGTTCGGGCCGAGTGAGGGTTTATGGCAAGCTGTCGCCGTCCTTCAGTATATCTACCGGTGTGAGACAAGGTTGCTCGCTAGCACCATTCCTTCTTAACTTCTCCATCAACGAGATCATGGAAACTGCGTTCACTGGACACGACCTTCAAGGCGTGCAGCTGCTCGCAGGTGAACGATTTCTTGACTTCGAGTAAGCCGACGACATTGTCTTTATTTGTGACAGCTTTCAAACGTGCCAAGTGGCACTGGACAAATTATCACTGGCTGTCAGTCGTTCTGGGCTATGCTTTGCACCCTCGAAATGCAAAGACCCCCAAGATTGGCAGGGACCCACGCATGCGCTGACCCTTGTTGGTGATCAGCTAGAAGTCATCGAGAAATTCAAGTATCTTGGCAGCTATACCAGTGCCAATAGAATGGAAGATGAGATCACGGACCGCATATCAAAAACTTGGGGAGCTTCTGCTAGTCTCCGCCATCTGTGGCGCCCGCGCAATATCACTCTCGCTCTAAAGGGTAGAATTTACTATGTAACCGTTCGTTCAACCCTGCTGTATGGTTACGAAACTTGTTTCACCAAGTCGACAGACTTAAAGAGGCTTGTTACGTTCGATTTTCACTGCCTTCGTAGCATAGCTCATGTCCAGTGGGAGCACAGTGAGTGTGTTCGGCGTCGTGTATTTGATGCAGGAAGAGCGAGTGAACCGCTCCGCACCAGTATATCACGCACCAGGCTCCGATGGCTAGGCCGCGTGTTGCGCGTGCCAGCCCACCGACTCCCGCCACGTACATTGTTTGCGCGCCCGGTATCTGGATGGAAGAAAGGAGGGTAGGCCAAGCGATGACTTGGTCAAAACAAATGAAATTCCCCACTTTGAGGTTGGCGTCGGTTGATGTGTCCCGGCTGCCTGGCTGGGGTCCGAAGGACGATAATCACGTGTGTTTGGATACACTAGTTGACTGGCAAGGAGCCGATCTCAGTGACGTTTGTGTTGTGAGTTTCTTTGTTCCTCCCCATCCCGCTTATCTTCCCCTTCCAACATCGATCTCACTGTTGACGCATAATATGTTATTAAGTGGCCGGTCGTCTGTTTTTTAGCATTCTATATTTTTAGCATCTTAATTTTTTCGTTTGTCCTAATTTTATGCATTGCGGCACAATATTGGAAGTGTGTTTCCCAGCTTATGTGTTTCTTCATCTTATGTGTACTTATGATGATGATTCTTTCTACACCAAAATAAGAGGTAATATGCACTTTTCCATACAAAAAACAGCGCTGAGCACGGATTATTCTGCCTTCTACGTGGATTCCTTACCCTCGGGGGCGAACGACGTCGCCTCACCACAGCTCAACTCTGCGAATATGTACGGGAGTGGCAGACCCAGAATGGCGCCAAACTTCAGCGTCTCGGTGGAGCTTGGGGCTGGATAAGCCGGGTGAGCACTGAGTGGCACGTTTAACTAGTGCGATCCCTGCTTGATTCTCGCATTTACTTGTCACATGACCACTGCCTGCGTCTTCTGCTCTTCCTGTGGGGACCAGCTGCACATGGTTAACCTTAGCGGATGAGCTTCGCTATGGTAACCAGACCATTGAATCTAGTTGAAGTGGCTGCCCATCGGTGAACTGAATAGGTTATAGTTGAAGCAAAATAAAACATGTGCAACTGCCACTCCAATAGCGGCCCGCGCAGCACATTTACGACCTTTGATTCTGTAAGTAAACGTGACAGAGGCTGTCTCAGTGCGACTAGGCGCGAGAACATAGAACGGAATCTCGAACGCGTAGAAGAAAAAGACAGCATTTTTGAAAGGCCATTGTGCAATGGATGAATTCGGTCATTTAGAATCTTTGAACATAATTATTGCAGATTCCAGGATCCCCATAGATGATCGCACTAGCGATGGAATTTTTAGACTCACCACTGCATCTAACCATCTTTTATCGATCGTCTCATAAAGATGTACTCTCTGGGGCAATTCATGGAGGGTGTCCGGGGCAAGCTGGCGGCTTGCACGAAGTCACAAACTTAACTACTAACTTACGGAGCACTGAACCTGTTGCGGCTCCCACTGACCGTACGAATAACCGGTACAGCTGCTCGGATCAATGACCAGCCATTTCTCACATCCCCAGACGAATGGTTTTGGCACAATCTGTATTCAACACCCGGCAAATAGTGTGTATAATCAAAGGTTGGGTCAAAATAAATAGTTCATGAGATGGTAGTAAGTAGAAGTGTGTCTCGACGGGGAATCGAACCCCGGTCCACGAATTTCCGGTCCGCTGCTCTACCACTGAGCTACTGAGGTCTGACGATTAGGTGCGCAAATTTTAATACATGACTTCTGCTTGGTGCGTGACGTATTGCCAATGAGCTCACAGTACCTGTCCTGGTGTTGCAGATTGGCTCACTCACCCGTCACTTCCCAATGGACCGAAGTACCAGTCCTTCGGATGTCCATTGGGCGCTGGTAAATTACTTTTGGATGTTTGTGAGTAGTGTAAAGTTTGTAGAAAGTAGAAGTCGCGATTAAAATTCACGCACAATAATGTGCCTCGACGGGGAATGGAACCCCGGTCCACGAATTTCCGGTCCGCTGCTCTACCACTGAGCTACCGAAGGCTGACGATTAGGTGCTCAAATTTTAATACATGACTTCTGCTTGGTGCGCGACGTATTGCCAATAAGCTCACAGTACCTGTCCTTGTGTTGCAGATTGGCTCACTCACCCGTCACTTTCTACAAACTTCACACTACTCACAAACATCCAAGATTAATTTACCATCGCCCATTGGACATCCGAAGGACAGGTACTTCGGTCCATTGGGAAGTGACGGGTGAGTGAGCCAATCTGCAACACCAGGACAGGTACTGTGAGCTCATTGGCAATACGTCACGCACCAAGCAGAAGTCATGTATTAAAATTTGCGCACCTAATCGTCAGACCTCGGTAGCTCAGTGGTAGAGCAGCGGACCGGAAATTCGTGGACCGGGGTTCGATTCCCCGTCGAGGCACATTATGGTGCGTGAATTTTAATCGCGACTTCTACTTTCTAGAAACTTTACGCTACTCACAAACGTCCAAAATTAGTTCATGAGATAACAACCTAGGTGAAGCTTCCTGGATTCCGGCAACCGCTAGATACCTGAAAGTGCGCTTGTTAGTTGTCCACGGAGTGTGCTCCTTCGCGGACTTCAAGGTTGGTCATTCTTCTTGGCGGACTTCAAAGTGAACTGCCCTCATTGACTAGCAAATTACCTTCAAGATGCGTCGGACCAAACTTCTCCGAGCTGCTAGCGACAGAACTGACTTTGGGGGCTGCTATGAGCGGGCTCCCTTAACAGAAAGCATCTTATGTTCGAAAGAATTAAAACATAGTGCTCTGACTGAAGTTTTTGACTGAGGTTTTGGGACAAACGTAGTGAGATATTTGACGATAAATGATCTAAGTATGGTAGTGCCATTCACATCGTACTGCGTAAGTCACATGCAGATAGACATCTATCTTTATCCATAAAGGTCCAATTATGCTACGAAAAGCCGCGTGGATGCATAAAATCGTTTGGTCAGCATTCAAACGAAGTTCAGCTGGCATCTGTCGAGAACGATGCACTAAGTCTTCTCAACGTCGGCCGGTGGCCGAGTGGTCTGCGCGTTTGGTTTGCAACCATAAGGTAACCGGTTCGAATCCGCGTAGGGGTGGGCATCTTCGCGGTATACTCAGCCCGCGCGCGACTGGTGGTGGTCGCGCGGCAGCGAAACGCTGTTACGGCGTACAGCGGACACATTATTATTATTATTATTATTATTATTATTATTATTATTATTATTATTATTAATCTTCTCAACTTCAAGTCTATTACCAAGCGATAAGGAAATACGCATCTCTTGAAGTCATCTCTGTCTTCTGACACTCGATCTCTGCAAACAAGACGCATCCCCGCAGGTGTTCTTGTCAGGATTAACCCCACACTCGTGTAAAGTGCACTCGCCACCCACCAGTTCTGTGGCCTACAAGTACGGACCACTTTAGGGAGCAGCTGACATCGGTATCTTCCGTAACCCGTTCAACGACACGTTCACCTAGTATCCTCCACCAGTCTGAGTAATGTGGTGCCTTATACCCCTTCTCGGTGAATCTAAATCAGTTCCTTTCGGTTTGCGTACAAAACCCTGTCACTTACACGATAGAGTTTTTTGAGACCTATACTGCACTTAGAATTGGAGTGAACACATCCTCAGACGCATCCATAGCATATTGCAATCAGATGGAGAATGCGTTGCGCTATATCACAGTTAGCATGTAAATCATGACTGTCCGCCGCCTTCCCCCACGACTCAGTGACACAAGCTGCTAGTTAGTGGCGCAGGACGCCAGTGATCATGGAGCCGAGAGCCGTTCACTACGGGTGAATCTCGATAGGACGAAACGTCCGTCTAGTGCTTCTTTGGAGGACTATCCCATGTGGGATTTTGACAACGTGCGGCGTTCCACATCTTCTTTATCCGCATGTCTAACGTTCGCGGTAGTTCCTTCCCGAAAATTCCGATATATTTGAACTTAGCCACATCATCTCTTAATTTCAATCTTTCGATAAATTTAGTTAGCCCATGACTCTGCTGTGCCAAGTCGTTTTCGCAACTTTAGTGCACGCAGCACCTTCCACAAGACAGCCACATTGCCTCGCTACACGGATGCGCAGCTCGTTCATAAGCTGGAGGTCGGTCGAAAGTACACTCCCCTGGTAACGAAATTTGGTGGTGGTTTCCAAAACGTCGTTACCAATATGGATTTGGGGCAGGCACAAGGATTCCGTTTCTGGTGAAGGCTGAAGGCTTGTTTCGATTGTGAGCCCGAACTTGGAATCTGTCGTATCGAGAGCCGTCGTCATGTGCTACAACGCATTCACGCTGTGTGTAAACAACGCACAGTCGTCAGTAAACAGCAATATACGGATGGTTTTCTCACACACTAGTGTTCTCGCCCCGAAACGACGAATGTTGAACAACCCACTATCAATACGGTGCTCCACACGGACACAAGCAACATCAAACGAACAAGACATTATTGCACTTAGGTAGATGTTACACAGGGCAGGAGCTAAGACAACCCTGCTTTACACTGTGGGCAACAGCAGTCATCCGAGGTATGTCCACTCAGCTACACTCTTGCCTGCATACCACTTACACGGATGACCAGACTTACCCAACTCGGCAAGACAGCTTCCTTGAACGTTCACTGCCCCACGTCATAATCAGCCATTACCCTGCAGATAACTCAGCACCAAACCCTTTAAACAGGCAATCCGACTAGGAGAGGGCACCAGACGCGACACTGGTGTCGGTTGCGAGCCATGTCCTGCAAGGTCTCGAGCCATGCACAAGACGGGTCACACGGACTCCAGTCCGGAAGGCGAAACGGGCCAACGGCCCCAGTTTGGTCGTCAGTGACTTCATTTCTCGCTGCCAAGTCAACGTCTGTCCACTTCGAGCTTTGCGCCACCCTACAACTGGGAGACTAAATAAGGCCCTCCTAGGTAAGCGGTGACCAGGCATACGTAGCACGTTCTCAACCCAACGCAACTTATTGTGTGCTATCTCTCTTTAGAACAACAGATAGCACTTAATAAGTTGCATTGGCTCGGGCACCTGCTACATATGCCTGGTCACCGCTTACCTAGGAAGGCCTTGTTTGGTCTGCCAGGTGTAGGGTTGGCGCAAAGCTCGAGGTGGACAGACGTTGACTTGGCAGCGTAAGATGAAGTCACTGACGACCAAACTGGGGCCGTTGGCCCGTTTCGCCTTCCGGACTGGAGTCTGCGTGACCCGCCTTGTGATTGGCTCGAGACTTTGCAGGATATGGCTCGCATCCGACACCAGTGTCGCGTCTGGTGCCCTCTCCTGGTCGGATTGTCTGTCTAAAGTGTGTTTGGTGCTGAGTTATCTGCGGGTAATGGCTGCTTATGACGCGGGCAGTGAATGCTTCAAGGAAGCTGACTTGCCGATGCCGCCTTATCTTTGCACGATTGTCTGCTGTTTGTGACCGTATGTTGCTAACACAAGGTGTAGGCGCCTTGACCCTGAGTTTTTGCTTAGGGTACTAAAGTTTCCAGGTACGTCCTCTTTTCTCCCTCTTATTCTTCTTTATTCCTTATGTCATCATGGTTGTATGGCATCATCATCAGTTCAAATGACTGATATATTATCGATGTTGTTCTGTTGTTCTGTGCAGCACAATAGCTAAGATGTTTTCCACCTGCAGCTAACGTGCATGATCATGGTGATCTGTTGTTCTAAGGAGCTAGCATTATTATCACCACCTACGGACACGCTGGTGCCATCCGACACTAGCAATGCTTCGCAGACAACGATGACCAAAGACTAGAAGGCGCCTCAGATCTTCAGACTGAAGGGGCCAATTCTCACTACCA